CCCCTCCCTGGCCCGGCCCGCCCCTGCCTGGCCCGGCCCTGCCTAGCCTGGCCCTGCCGGTCCTGGCCCTGCCGGTCCTGCTCCTCCCAGCCCCAGCTCGCCCCGCGGTGGGGGCTTCCCACCTGGCTCAGGTCTCCCGAGTCCGTGCAAGCCCCATGGCTGCAGCCGCCTGCGGCCCCAAGGCCGTGTCCCTCTTCCAGCGGACCTTGGTGTGGAAGCCCACCGTGGCGCTCAGGGGTGCAGGCAGCCCCCGGCGCGGCTGCCCCTGGCCTCCGGAGGACTGGCCCCGGGGAGAGGGCATGTGCAGGGTGCTGCGGGCCCCTGCAGGGCCCCGGCCGCCCCTGCCCCAGCCTTGCGGCTCCGCGCACCCCACCGCCCTGGCTCCTCTCTGCCCACAGGACTCGCTCAGCAGCAGCCTGAAGACGTGCTACAAGTACCTGAACCAGACCAGCCGCAGCTTCGCCGCCGTGATCGAGGCGCTGGACGGGGAGATGCGGTGAGTTGCGTCAGCTGCGGGGCGGGGGGACCCCCGGCGGCCGACGGGGCGGCGTTGGGGTTGGGGCCGGCCGGGCTGTTTACTCAGAGTGCCCTTGCAGGCCCCGGGCGAGGGTGTCCGGCAGGCCGACCCTGGGGAGGAGGCGGTGTTTGCTCGCCCGGGCCTGGCAGCTGCGTCTGATTGGAGCCGTGCGCCTCGGCTCTCGGCTGTGCTCTGGCCACTCTGCGGCCCTCGGGGCCGGCCGGGCCTGCTGTCGCCGCGGGAGCACGCTCAGGGCCTCCCTCCTGCACAGCTGCGCCGAGGGCTTGTTTCTGGGCTTCTCTGCAAGAAGCGCTCGTCCGGGCCAAACAGGCTCAGGCGCAGCTGCTCCGAGTTAGGCGGGGAAGCCGCGGGAGTGCCGGCCTCCAGCTGGCCGGGTTTGTGTTTTCCTTTGTAAAGTGCTGCAGAAACCCCTGCGGCCCAGCACGGCCACTGCCCGCGTCGGGGTGCGCGCTCACGCTGCGCCCCGCCCAGGCGGGGGCCGAGGCCGCCCCGCCCAGGGGCTCAAGCCGCCTCCGGCGCCCCCCCTGACCGGCTCCCGCCCGCAGCCACGCCGTGTGCATCTTCTACCTGGTGCTGCGCGCGCTGGACACGGTGGAGGACGACATGAGCATCAGCGTGGACAGGAAGGTGCCGCTGCTGCTCGACTTCCACACGTTCCTCTACGACCCCGAGTGGCGCTTCATGGAGAGCAAGGAGAAGGACCGGCAAGTGCTGGAGGACTTCCCAACGGTAGTGACGGCGGCCTCTGCCCTGGCGGGGGGCGGCAGGGGCTGGCGCGCGGGTCCCGGCTCTG